CACACTGGGCATACAGAGCACTTCTCCTGTCTGTCCTCCTTCACTCTGAAGATGCCGGTCACAGGTGCTGGCGCAAAGTTAGGAAACAAAACTTCCAGAACACGGCCACACAGCCCGGAAGACCCACACCAGCCATCGTATGCCAGCCGTGAAAGCCTTCGACAATACATCCTTGAGGTTTTTTCCCCATCGGAAATCACAGGCAAATCCCACTCAGAGTTATAGCAGAGACAAAAGTTTAAAATAGAGTATGTGCTTTACTGCATGTAGAGGATGACCTTGAGTTGGGAGGAAGCTACCACTGATCACCACCTGTCATCTTGGAAAACTCACATCGAGCAGGACAGATTTTAATGGAGCACGTGGACTAATCATCTGAGTTGAGTCAAACTACATAGCCAAGGTCCATGATTTTCCTTCAGTATTTAAGAGATAATTTGCTTTGCTTATCAGCAGAAAATAACATACATCTTATGTCTTCCCCTTCTAACCTGGTAGGAAAAAAAAGACATGGGGAGAGAAGAGCCAGACAACAAAGGATCAAACTTACCCCAACTTAGTGAACTTCAGATCTGTTCCTATTACTACCACTTTAGTTTTTGGGTAAAACACACAAAATCGTTCCATTTAATATGTAGTTTGACTTTCAGTTTAAGGAAGCTTCACACGTTGTTCACGTATTTTATGTATCAGTGGATGAAATGACATGAGATCTCATCACATTGCCAAGGGTCTTCAGCTTTTTGTTATTTTTTTCTAAGACCCATTGAACCTAACAGATTTTCTGGCATTTATTCTTCTATAAAAGAACACAGGATTGCAGCCAACATGTGATAGCACATTTGAAAGAGAGAAAACTAGAGAATAAAGAAATGATAGCCTTCCCGGTTTACCATTAGAAATAATTAAAGCTAAACAAAAGAACGCACCTTAAGGAGGAAGAATAAACATGGCTCTGCAAAAATAAGTTTTGCTTCACTAAATATGAATGTCTTTGATAACATCAACAAGCATGTGAATTGACATGATGCAGTAGATACTATGGGCAGAGGCACAGCCTTGACTAAACCTCTTAAGAGAATTGTATCCGAGGAATAAGAGGACAGAGCTCTTTCTTATGATATCATAACCTTGAGCTATAACGTAAGAATCATTCTTTCCAGATTCAAGGGAATTAAGGACTTGGGTCCATAGGTTCATAAAGAGAACAGAAAACCACTACTTCACTCCCCATTTCTTCCTATGGGAAAATGCTTGCTTTCAGGGCTGAAGCTGGCAGAAATGAACAAAAATGTTTTGCTTCCTCCCTGGCTGCCTGAAGGGTGTTTCTATGATAGACAAGGGGAGGGAAAGGGTGAAGGAAAACAATTGTCTTAAGAGAAGGAGTTGCGAAGGGGGGAGCGATTGGAAAAGGCTGTTGAGCTTTTGCTTTCCAACTCCGAAATAATAGCCCTATTACTCTCTGAAAACCACAGACCCTCCTTTTCTCTTGCCGCCTCCCTGGAGAAGAATTGGTCATTGCACAGCTGTGAAAGAGAAATATATATATATTTAGATAGATAGATAGATAGACACACACACACACACACGAGAGAGAATTTGCCTTTCTGAATTGGTTTGTGGGGCTGGACAAAACCTCATTGTGTGCTTTATCTGTCCAGAAGAGAATGGGCCCACAGTCTCATTCTGGCAGGGCTTCTGCCTTTGGTTAACTGTGGTTAGACAACTGTAACTTCATTTAGATACGGTACTCTGTGTGCGTGTGTGTCTATGTGAATGTGGGTATGGTTTGGACATTATTATTGATTGTGCACACATCTGGAGAAAAACACAAACATGAATCCTCTCCATGTCCTGTTCAGAAAAAAATAGGAGAAGGTTGACAGGTTTTAAGAACGGAGGCTAAAAAAACAAGCCTACACCTATTCATTTTAGTCTTTTCCAAGGCTACATGTATTTGTCTCAGCTGCATATTATGGAGAGATCTCTCCCAAAATGGATATCCATAAGTGTCATATTAATATTGGATCAACAATCTGTTAATTCAGAAATGAATTCACTAGAAGTTATTTCCTAGTTGGTATGCTGACTGCTCTGCAGGACCACTTTGAGATATTTATGTAATTATGTACTTTGAGAAGTATGTAAGAATTCAGTGAGGTTTTCTGAAACTAAGAGAGGAGAAATTTAGCAATGCACCACATGTCCGGGTTGGTATATCATATTACGCATGATTAGTTTTAACTATATTTTGCAAAGTTTTATTTTAGTGTGATGTATGAACCATCTAAGAATGCACCTGTCATATTATTTCCTGTTTCACCCACATGATAACATCAATAACTACAATTGGCTATGCTGACTGGAATTTATGGAAGTTGTAGTACATAAATCAAGTTGGGAGCCTGATCTATAGCATATATTAAAATAAATTTATATATTTATATCCCTCTCAAGTCCTGCTGTGCTGCCTTATTGTGGTGTGTGTGTGTTTGTGTGTTCCTGGGAGGGATGAGTGAAGAATGTCTGGAGGGAATGCCAAGAGTAAATATTCCCAGCAGGGTCACCCAAGGCATGAAGGCCATCCCAGCTGCCCAGCTGAAGCAAACAGGCACCTATATTGGGCAACAGCAATACAGGAAGATGCTGGAGGCAGACAATCACTTTAATGACAGTGGCAAAGGCATCAATTCATATAGCACTGGAGAAAGCAATGGTAAACCACTCCTATATTTTTTACCAAGAAAACCACATGGATAGAAAATCACTATTGGAAGACCTGAAAGACCAGGTTGCAGACAGATTGTTCTGGAGAAAATCTATCTATGTGGTCACTAAGAGTCAACACTGACTTGATGGCACATACTCAGTTAACGTATTTATATCCTGTCTCTCCGCTCAGAGGTGGAAGTAAATTTAATTTCGTTCTCCAGTTATATGCCTTAAAATTCCTTTGTTTGGGCCAACTTATCCAAAGCATAAACTTGCTTTTGAGTGAGTCTTTGATGACCCAATATGTTATGTTGGTATTGCCTTTGATTTAAATACAATGTAGTCTTGCAGAATATTTTCATATTCTACGTCAATTCAACTTGTTTGCCTTCTGAATGTTAATAGTGTATATAAAGAAAAGAAACAACCAAACTGGTAGAAAGAACTCCAGAAGCAGATAAAATTTCATGTTAGTGGCCATCACTATACTGTGTAGTAGTGAATTCTGCAGGTTAATTCTGTCCTTCTAAATCTCCCATCATTCAGATTCACTAGATATTCTGAAATAAAGTTTTCTCCTTATCCATTTTCTTCACAGTCTTTTCTATTCATTTCTTTTTTAAAATTCTGGTTAATTTTCTGTTTGTCTACAATAGTGTTTCTCAACCTCAGCAACATGCTGGCTGGGGAATTCTGGGAGTTGAAGTCCACACATCTTAAAGTTGCTGCAGTTGAGAAACATTGGACTACAATGATCAGTGATCTTTTATACAATTATTTCTGGGGAAGTGTGAAGGTTACATTGCCATTATGTCCTTTCCAAACATGTTAAGCCTGTCACTATGGGAACAGAACAATGGACTAGATGGGTCTGGTGGATTTGATAAGGTCCTCAAACCGGTGCCCTCCAGATGCACAGCTATAATCCCCACCGTTAACATCAAACACAATGGTTGGGGGAAATGGAGACTGTGTGGTATGCTGTGTGGTATGGATATTCTTTGTTTTAATCTGCTGCTGCAGGATGGGTAGTATAAATAATTTGATCTGCTCCACTTTTGTGCAATATTCCTTCAACTCATTATCAGACTTTCTGGGGGGTTCCCTGTAATTTCAAGACAGTCTCAACAAATGCTGATTTCATACGAGTATTAGTACGAAATACTTCAGCTACTGACGTTTTGGCCTTTAAGCCAACTATTTAAAGGGCTGAATCTTGTTAAAGAGCCACGAGCGTCGACGCTCGGAAGAATTTGCCCAGGAAGGCAAATGCACGGCTGCAAAAATCCAAGGGATCGCTAGTCGGCAGCAAAGAGTTAGAGTTTCTTCTCTTTCCTGACGGGTCTCCCTTCGGATTTTTGCAGCCCAGGTTTTTGTAAAACCCTCCCCTCCGCCGGCCGGTCTTCAGTAATGCTACTTCAGTTGTACACCTGCTAAACTTCTGCCTGGACCGGCAGATTGGAGCACAGCTGGTCGCTGGAAAGAGGGGCCAGAACCCTTCTACAGAACGAACCTTCGCCATGGCAGGAATAGCGACCCCGAGGCAGGCAGCCGAGTGGGTCGTTCGCGTCGTGCCCGCTTTGGCCAGCAGAGAGCAGGAGCCGTGGAGGCGGGAGGAGGAGGAGGAGGAGGAGAAGGCGGAGAAAAAGCGGTGAGGAGGGCGTGAGGGGAGCGGCTGGGGCGCCCGCAGAGCTGAAGTTGAGTGCCAAGCGGCGTGGGGGGAGGCCGCCGCGGAGCGCCGGCTGGGGGAGCCTGGGAGCCAATCTCCCCGGGGGAAAACGCGCTCGCTTCTGCTCGGGCGACGGAGGCGCGCCCCAACTCGGGTCTCTTGGGGCCAGAGTCCGGGGAGCGCAGTCCGAAGTCCCAGGGCGAAAGGGCTCCGGGGCGCGCGCCGCCGGTGTTGCGCGCTTGCGGCGCCCTGG